CCAGCACCTGCAAATTGTTGGTTCTCTTTCTAGCTGAGTGGTAGGCAAAGACTTTCCTTCCAGGGCCTCTCTCTTTTATTTCAAAGGTAGGAAATGAGTAAGAGGGTTAGGAAATCCATGACAGAAGGGCTCTACCCTCTCTAGATAGAAACCACAATCAGTGAACAAAATAATCTCCAAATACGTCATGTTTCCACTACTAGTCCTTCCCTGCCTAGATACAAAGGCATTCTTCAGAGCGAAGCTGTGATAGGGAGGAAAACAGGAACATAAGCAGGTAAGTCCAAGAAGAGTTCTCAGTGTCAGAAACTGTGCTCCTTCCAACAGCCTGTCCTGTACTTTGGTTTCTATCAGCCTTTCTTCTCTCATCCTAATGAATAAACATGTCTGAACTAGAAATTTTAAAAAGACAGAACTCAATTTCTTTCTTATGGATTCCCTAAGGCCCTGGCAAATGATAGTACAGAAATAGATGCCCGTTTATGTTAGTAATTATTGTATAGTATTTAAAAACACTGGATTGCAAGGGATGCTTTTTAACTGAATAGCCTAGTATATGGTAGTATAACTTCTAGTCCATCAGTAAGCTCTATACAGCAGATTTCTTTAAAATTAAAAAAATTACCTTTTTAATATTTTGTGAGAGACTGAAGCTCAGCAAAGCTTAGTCACTGAGGAGACCAAATATATGGATATAGAGGGTATGAATGCATTAAAATTACACAATACATTATGGAAAAAACCATCATTGTGCACAAATTTTTAATCATATGCAGATATTCAGACTCTATAATCTAACATTAAAATAGTTTACGTGTGCACACAACTTACAGGTAAACAAAGAAAAATTAAGTCTTAATGAACTAAGGTTCAAAATATTTCACCTTCTAGGGATAAAAAGAAATTACAGTAAAAATTATCAAAGACCTGAGATACAGTTAAACTCAAAAAATTCATTCTATTGTAACACCATGCCACTGGACTGATAAATACCAATTCCAATTATATACTAATTAATGAGCTACTACTCTAATCAGTGAGCTATATATAATAAAATAGAGGTTGCAGGTAAAGTAACAAGGACTTAACAGCTAACAACACTGATTCTTCATTTGGGTTTGCAAATGTCCAATGACAACAAAGGCAAGATAAAAAATTGGCATCTCTGCTTCCATTTTGCATCTGTCTTCACAGCTATCACCTGGATTCCAGGAATAACAGCTCTGTTCAATAAACATCTTGTGATACTCCAACCTATCCCCCAAGCAACAGCAACTTTTGTTTGAACCCCAAGACACTGCCTGACAATCCAGAGAAAATGATCAAGCAGCCCACAGTTGTCTCTTTGTCTATATAACCTCGGAGCTCATATCAGTGCCCCCAAGACAGGTCTGGAACTGGCTGTCCCTTTATTTTCTCAGAGAAGTTATACTGATTAAAGTTCCTTCCTTGCCTTCACCATGACTGGTCTCTCTGACTGGCATCCTGGGATGGGTGGCAGAACATAGTCTACTGGGATCCCTGGAGCTGGTGGCTTCACCCTAAACTCTAGTAACAGTATCAGATGCAAACAATTCTTTGATAATCTTCCAATATAGAGTACTGAAGTTCTGAGATCCAGTTCATGCGCCATCTAATGCCTCTATGAAGACTTCCCAACTTACCCCTCACATCTGTGCTCAAGAGTGTTCCTTTCATGGTGCCTGTACCATGATTTTATCCCTCCTCTGTTGTACCATCATCAGAGTCTCATGACTCCTATACATTCACCTTAGTACTTTCAAAGCCTTACATACTGACCAAGGAACACTAAGTGATCAATAAATACTGGTGGAATCAACTAATCAAAAGGAAGGGAAATACTAAAGGAAGAAGGTAGAGAAAGGGGAAAAAATGCTGGCACTCAGAATTTCAAAATTGTTACAATCATTTAAGATACCATCTTATTTTTTGCAAATGAACTCTTGTGGTCATGGGTAAATTTTCAAAAAGATTGGTTAATCCTGCCATATATTACAGATTCTCAGATGCTGCCAATGCTGTAGGCTCTCCGATTTATGATTTCAAGTAACATGCACTCAGTACACACTTGACATACGGAGAAAAGCAAACCTATAGAAAAGTCACAAGAGCGTAGCACATTTGTTAAAGCTGAGTTTATCAGTGAATGTGTGTAGTACATACTGTACACTGAGGGACGTTGGTACATGTACATAATACATTAATTCCTTTTTTTTATCTCCTAAGACTCTGACAAATCAAATGGATGGTGTGGGACAAAGTAAGGAAAAGCCTTCAAAACTAAGGTGAAGAATTTCGATGGTAGTTCTAAACTATTTCATTAAAGATTTTTAAGCAAAAAAAGAAACTACAAAAACAATACTTTATCATATGAACTCAAGCAAAGCATTCAGGAAGGATCCTTGCCGAGCTGAAAACAGTAATATAGCTCTTGAGACAAGTAATGTAGCCCTAAAATAAGTTAGATGGGGAAATTCAGTATCTGATTCTTTAGCAATTTTTAAGAGTTAGAATTATTCAAAAAAGATTATCAACTGGTTAACAGTACTTTAAAAGATTTTTATTTTAAGCCACAAAGATGACTTTGAAAAGGAAGAACCCTGGCTTTCTTGTTCAGCACAAGTGTAATACATCACAATAATCAACATGTTTGAAATGCAAATAAATTTCTCCTCACAAAGTCTTAAGACATTGTTCCCTAAGTAAATATAACTAAGTATAGCTTTGCAACATCATTTCTCTCTTCTATAAAGAAGTTATGTTTAAACTAGAAGAGGGCACAACACTAAAACTGAAGAAAGAAGAGAGGAATTGCAAAATCCAAAAGAATAAAGTTTAACTTTCCACAGTATTTTCCCCCCAAAACTAGGGATTGAACCCAGGACTGTCATAATGAGCTATATCTCCATCCATATTTTTTTAACTCCTTTTTTATTATTTTGAGACAGGGTATTGCTAAATTACAAAGTTGCCCAGGCTGGAATGGAACTCGCTATCCTCCTGCCTCAGCTTCCCAGAGTGCTGAAATTACAGGCATAAGCCACCACACCTGGAAACACATAAAGGCATGTAAAAGATTTTATTTTTGCAGTGCTGGTAGTCAAACCCAGGCCCTAATGCATGTGAGGCAAGTGCTCTATCACTGAGCTATACCCCCGTCCCCATAGCAGTTTGAGGCTCGGTGGAGTATTAAATAACCAAAAGTATAAATAACTTATGAAGCAAAATAAAAGATCTTTTGGGAAAGAGAAGGGCCCAAGGGATGGAGTGGGAAGCAAGAGGGCAGGAAAAGGAAGTTTAAAAAGTAAGATGTGTTGTGTACGTGTGCCAATTCCCCAGGATGAATGTACTCATTATGTACTGCAAACACATACTAATAAAAGTTTAAAACTTTAAAAATGGAGAGTCCAGAAGGGACACAGAAGACTGAGTGGAAATGCAGCTGTGCAAATTAACTCATGCCTCTTTGAACTTCCACTGAATAGGAAGAAAAGTACAGGCAACTGCAAACAATTCCAATGGAATTCTAAGAAATCTAGAAAAGCAATGATAAAAATTAAATTCAGAATATGGTTACTTCTAACAAAAGGGAGTGGCAAACACAGATCAAAGATATTTTCAAGAGCTGGACACAGGTGTGCTCATTTGTAATCCCAGCACTCCAGCACTTGAGGCTGAGGCAGGAGGATTGGAAATTTGAGCCCAGTCTGGGTGACTCAGCAATTTAGTGAGATCCTGTCTCAAAAGGTGAGGGGGGCGCATGGCTCAGTGTGAAGGCCTTGGTTTCAGTCCCCAGTACTGACCAAAAATATATATATTCTAATATATATTTATATACAAATAAACATATTGTTTATTTCTTAAGATGGGTTGTAGCTGGGCATGATGGCACACACCTGTAATCCCAGCACTCTGGAGGCAGAGGCAGGAGGATTGCTGTGACTTCAAAGCCAGACTGAGAACATAGTTCAAGGCCAAGGCCAGCCTGAACTACATAGTGAGACTCTGTCTCAAGAAGAAGAAAAAACAAAACAACAACAACAACAAAAGATGGGTTGTAGATGTGTGATTCACTATATAACATAACATCTTTATTATTAATATTTCATTTAAAAACATTAATGAGAACTGTTCATCTCTGTAACAGCAACTGTAAATACCTTGATCATTTTAACAATTTAAAAATACCTTACTTGAAAAAGGGAGGTAAGCACTATAAGACAGAAGATATTCTAAAGCAGAAAGACAAGTAAGTACTTCATAGGCCAAAGGATCTCCCTAGGTTAGGTGAAACTTGGCTTGGCTCTGACAAGCAAGCATCCCAGAACCTCCCGTTCAGAAGATTAGGATTAAGTCAGGACTTGGCAAAAGAAGTTGGGAAAGATAAAATGAATTTGAGAAAGACTGAAAAAGAGTCTAGACTGGAAAAGAAAACTGATACCATGGTTATACTAATACAAAAATGGAGATTCTAAATTAGGTGTTAATTATCTAATTTTTCTACTTCATTTCTAAAAGAAGTAAATAAAGTTCAGTTCATTTTTCTTTTCAGTTATTGCCACTGAAGCTTGATTGTCATTTATTATTTTCAGATAATACATTTTGTGATTCTAGTTTCCGATGTGATGCCTACATATTTAGAACTTCAGTTGAGGATTCAATGTCTTGTTAAACATCCAGTTAGAACTAATGGTGACAACTCAAATTTGCCTCTTAAAAATCTAAAGCTATGAAAGCTTCTGTAGGATCATTCCAGTCACTGCTAGATATGGGTGAAAAACACCCAAACAATTTTTAAAAACTGGAAGTAATGTTTAAATAAAACTTTAAGTATCACACTCAATTCAAGCTTTTAAGATACAATGCTCATTCTTTCCCAGCATTCTCATCTAAGGCTATCATCACTCAATCATTCCTGAAATGATATTTTTTATTTTTCATATAGGACAATTTTACATTGATTTACATAATTAAAATCATCTTACCTGTACTTTTTTTAAAGCTACTGGTACTCCATCCAAGAGACAGGATGCTCTATAAACTTCACTAAATTGTCCGCGACCAATTTTCTTTTCTATTCGAAAGTTGGATAATGTATTATAGCCCATATCAGGTCGTAAAGCCTTCTGTAATTAAAAATATCAGAAAAAAATTCAATCACACAATAGACATACAATCATTGATCATTTTTACTTAAATAAGCGATACATAAAAAGAGATAGGGGATAACATTGGGTTACAACAACCCATCCCATACTTTTCTACTGTAAATTTGTACTTTAGCATAATCTGTGTCTCAGCAGCTATGCCTGGGGGATACAGGAAGCAACCTTTGTGTTTGCCCACTTGGTTTGACGAACAGCAAGGTGTGTGCACATGTGCAAAAGTGTCAAACGGGAATTTTTACTCACATAATGCTCCTAACAGGTTTTGAGTACATTTACCTGTGCATCACAGTGGATTAAATACACCCACACTTCTCTTATGAAAACATGTATTTTATCATAATAGAAAGTGAATGTGATTGCTACACCTGGGGAAAGCAAAAACCCTCATGTGCATTCATCTTCTTGGGAGACTAAGAGCAGCAGCTACAGGTTAGTTTTACCCATGAAATAAATGGTCACTGCTAAATTTTTGTGCATTTAGAATTTGTTTTTTATTTTTTTATTTTTTGCTTAAATTCATTCATTGGCACATTTTAGGTATGCAATACGTTTACATTTATCATTGGGTGCTTGTACCTGTACAGGATGTATCTTGGTTATTTTTTCTCCATTACCTGTGCACCCTTCACCCCTCCACCCTTTCCTATTTACATGCTTCGTTTCCATTTTTTTCTTTCTCATAATTTTTGCTTTCCATTCTTTCCTTTCCCCATCTTTTCCCACCACCCCTACTCCTTTGGACCTTTTCCTATTTCAAAGTATCAATTAGTTATTAATCCTTTTAATCCTTATTTATACTCTCAGTTTCTCACACTAGAGAAACTATTCGGTATTTACACATGTGTGTCTTATTTATTTCACTTAAGAGTATGGCCTCAATATGCATCCA